AAAAAAAAACTTACTTTTTACAGCTAGTCGAGTGTAGAACATACTGATAAGTGAAAAATAAGAGTGATTGTATTGTGTTCTAGGTTATACCTTAGATATGTGCACACCAAGATTACGATGAACGCCAGAGCATTCTATACAGACAAGCACGCCAAGATTTAAGGATGCCCAATCGGGTTCAGGGGCACCACAATCAGCACACTTTTCATTACCACACACTTTCCGCAACACATCAATTGGCTTCTCGATTTTCGGACCACCTCTTTGTTGTTGAGAATTTCGAATTGAACGGTCCAAATGCAAAGAGGGATATCTGTCAGAAGTGTAATCTTCAACCAATCCATGATCAAAATCGGCACTTTCAAACGAACTGCTCTCGCTGGTAGACCTATGGTGACCACTGCCCATTGGACTAGCCGGTAAACACTAAACCAAAAACAAAAACAAATGATCATGCAACAATAAAATAACAAATAATTAAGGGGTCCTTGTTTTCATTTCCAATAATCTATTTTCATCATATAGTAGTATTCAGTGGAATAGACTTGTGATTATTTTGAATATAGAAAATAACATTTATGCCTATATTGATATTCCCATTTTTCACATAAAATAATATCTCAACCCTACCGCAAGGCCTTACCCTTTCAGGTGCCTGCGAACTCAATAACGATGCAATCACCCCTGTAATTTTCTCAATCCAATCCATTTGATCTAGGGCGCTTTCTGCCTGCAAAGACATGCAAAAAGGAATAAATTTGATACATACAAAACCAAATCATCTTCATTGAGAAGAAAGATCCATTATGACTTTTAGAGCTAACTGATAGAAAAACAGACCTGCAACGTGTAGTTCTTTGTTGGGGATATGATACGAAAGCAGAACCTGAGATCAGACTGGTCAGCATCGACTTTTATTGTTGATGTCAAAAGGTTCACTGTATGGTGAGCAACAGATTTCTCATCGTGTACACCACCATGATAATGTGAAGATAACCAACGACTTAACAATCCAGAACCTAACTCTGAACTATTCCTTTGAGTAGACAATTGACTGCCTGACCCCTGTACAGCAAATTATAAAACATGGAAGTTAAAAAGATTCGATTTTTGACCAAAAACAAAAAAAAAAAAAGAACATGGGAGTTAAAAAGATTCGATCTTTGAAAGAAAAAAGAAGTATCACTACATTCTTTTTATTACAGAAAGCAGCTTCAAAACCGACTCACAGAAGGCTTGCTGCATCTTTTGCGATAATAGTACAGCATTCCTCTGCTATCAAGAACAAAAAACCTTCTTTTCCAATCGCCCCTCAAGTTGGATGAACGTTTCGAAAGATAACCTTGCCTAATTGTTTGAACCTGAAAGAGAACCCGAAAATTTTCAGCCAGATACCAGATAGAGTGACAATTCAGTTGAGGTCATATTGAACACTAAACACTTTCGACCTTTCCTTTTGCAGCAGATTGCATGACGGCTTCTATCATCTTGTGTGAACTTCTACCAACAGCCTGTATCCCATCTCCATTTGGAGATCCATTAGAAGACCATCGGCTCTCTCTGTCAATCTGCCTTTTATATTCTTGCATCCTCTCGTTAAGAGCTGCCTGCTCGTAGTTAGACCTCTCTTTTGATTGCTTTGCATAAGTTGAGACCTAACCATAAATGCAGCAGCATGCATTCAATATGTTTTTTCATCACGTATAATCTGTCTAAGGTAATAACAATTATCTAGTAGTATGTTTCATTAAATAATGCATTGCAGTTTAGAAAGTTATATACCCGCTCAACACAATAGAATCCAAGCTTTATGAAGAGAAGACACTTAAATATAAATCGAACAAAATTCAACACTTAAATATTTGTACATTCACATATAGCAGAAAGTTACAAAAGAAAACCTGGTTGATATATGGTTCCATCTGGTGCAGCAGCTCATAGCCCTACATGAAAAAACAAATATTTAAAGAAGTTGATGAAATATATAGAGCTAGAAAAATAACTATGCTATGAGGTTGTCTCACTTAGCTTTTTACCTGTTTGAAATAACGAAGATGAGCAGCCATTGTTTCACTTACAGCTTCCAAGAACTCAAACCTTTTCTTTGCCTCGACATTGGAAAGTGCAGTCACCTGGACGGATAACTTAAGTTAATCAAGAATGGATATGTGTTTTAAAGAATCAACATGTCATCAAAATAATCAAAAGATAATAATAATAATAAAAAAAAACCCACCAGATTAAACCGTGCCTGTTCAAAAGTTGATCGAGCGTGATGAAGCTCCTAGAGACATATCATCACAGACGATATTAGAATGTGCATTATAGGGAGTAAATATGCATCGAGTAATATTCTTTTATGCTTCAAGTATCATACCTCCTCCAGAATAGTTGCTACATCACTTCTTGTACCTTTCCTCAATGACAAAAACTTTTCACGAGCCTGTTGCAGCAAAAACGCATTAAATGTAGAACTATAATCTAAAAAATAAAAAATAAAAAATAAAAAGAACAGAACCAAAAGTGAAACATCACCTGATCATAAAGAAGACTAGCCTTGTCAAAGCGTTTCCGTGCCTCCTGCAAACTAGCTTTAATTAGGAAAAAAAAAAAGAAAAAAAAAATTGACTTGATTTATGAAAATACGCATTAAAAGATAATGACAGAGGATAAGGGGGAAGCGTTTTCGTGCCTCCTACAAACTAGCTTTAATTAGGAAGAATGAAAGAAAATAAAAAATGACTTGATTTATGGAGATACGCATTAAAAGATAATGACAGAGGATAAGGGGGCATGTCACTCCCAGAGGCGTAGATCAGTTAATGGAACATGGAAGTAGCTCAAAAGGGTAAATTGTACGAATATCTGAATCTACCACATAAATGCGGTGCATATAAAGAAATAAAGGTATTGTAGTACAATCTAGCAAACATGTCCAAAAACAGTATGGCTACATTCAATTGGTACTCCAACAACAAAATTACTTTGAAACACAACAACATTTTGGAGGCACTTACGAACAAAGGAAACCCTAATTGTAAATATGAAGGATTTAAAAAAATGAGGTACCTTGACATCATGCAAATCTAAATTCACAAACTGCAGCAACCGCTCATTGAGCAAGTGTTCAACCTGTACATAACCAAGAACAGAGTCATTTACATGCATGGATGCACAATAAACATCATTCGCCCGTGTCTTTCTTTTCCATTTAATTATTTACCACCATAAAACAAGACGGACATTGGGATCGAAGAAATTGCACCATATATTCTATAGAAATTTATTGTTTTAGAAACCAAAAGAAACAAAACACGTACAAGCACCAGACAAGAAACAATTTTACCTGGGATCGAAGAACTTCTTTATATGTCCCGATTTCTCTCAATGCTATAGTAAATTTTGTCATAACAGGACCTACAGGTATCAGATTTCCCATTAATAGTGTCAAATAAAGTGCTAATACAAGCTCATCTAACTCACATAAGATAATAAAAGTACGAGATTCTCAACCAATTAATGAAGACTTGTTATGAACTATTATTACACCAAAAGAAAAGGATGCCCACAAATGGTAAGCAAACTGGTGCAAATAAATACATAGCATCATAAAATTTGATGAGATTTAAGGCATACGATATTGCAGAGGCCTTTAATTTCAGTAGTTAAGGTTTCTATCAACGGTGTGCACCAGAAAGACTCAGGCAATTCAAATGATGCCACAGATGGTGTAGAGAGAAGAAAAAAGGTTGAGGAATAGGCAGCCATTAAGAAAGAAAAGAAAAAAGGTAAGAGGAATAGGCAGCCATTAAGAAAGAAAAGAGAAAAGATAGAGGAATAGGCAACCATTATCAAACCACTCAACATTGCTCTAATGAGCATAAAACATTCATGCCAAATTGTCAATATACATATAAAGAAAACCCAGAATCTATGCCAATTCTCCGAACACCTTATGATATCTACTGATACTGAAGCTATCAAACTGAAGATTTTAAAAATGTGTTTACTCTAGAAATTGAGAAATCATTCCTTTATAAATTATACTCTGTATATCAGAAGATGGCTTATACCAATAAATATTTACATGTTTATTGATCAAAGGCATATAATGTGCTATAGGCTATGTTAAATCACTTCAACCATAAATCTTCCATTAGAAAAGTATGAAAGGCGGGAAAGACTACCATTTTCACCAAGAATTTCAATGGTTAATCAATTACCACTACAAAAACCGATGTCAACAGTTTTAGAAGGAGAAAGGTTAATATTTTACCTTTAATTTTGCGACTAGAAAATTGTCAAGTTGTGTAAAGGACAGCCAAATACTCTTGACAATTTATTGGCTAAGCAGCTAACAATGGAAAACTGGTATGGCATTGATTTGAACATGAGAAAAATGAACCTAATCTACAGAAAAGCTCCAACTATATACCATAATATTTGACGAGAATGAACGAGCATTTGAAAGCAGAAGCATTTTACAGCCTACAACTCAAACAAACATATTTTTATAAGCGAGGGAATCCGAGTAGGACGATTCCATGAACATGTGGACATAAAACTTTGAACTTAACGAAGAAGAGTGAAACATTTCTCTTACCTCCAAAGGCAACACTAATAGGATCATTATGCCCTCCGCCAAAAGTTTCTAGTGCACTGGCAAAAGCTATGTCTCCATCATAGCCCTCCCCAAGTCC